CCGAAGCAGTACTTCCAAATATTTTGGGCGATGGAGATAGAGACTTTGTGCCAATTACATCGAGAGGGTTGATTGCTTTAGATTGCAGTACAGACACTAATAGAGAATAAAATTTTTTTTTCCTGAATTTTCATTAGGATTTTTTGTGAAAATATGTGAAATAAATATTTTTGTGACTTATATTGGACAATTTCTTAGTATTTTTTTCTGTTATAGTGAACTATTTTTTGCGGTTTTCTTCCCTGTGAAAAAAACCCTGTGGAACGGATATTCCGTGTAAATTGAGGAACAGGTATATATTTCTTATAGCAAAACTAAATTTGCCTAGAATTTAATTTTCCTGTTAAGGTAAAATAAATGTATTCTATGAACATAAATTACAAATGTTCATTTATCAAACTACAAAAGTTCAATTCTAGATCTAAATAGAAAATTATCATAACAGGTTTCAGAAGAATCCAAAATATGAAAACTTTGGCTTTTATCATAAGTGTAAATTTGTTATGGAAAAGAAGCTTGAAGAGTCCCATCTCATCATGGCAAACATTTGCTGCATTCAAGGTAAATAAGTTTCAAATATTTTTCTTACATTTTAAAATTTCACTACTCCATGCTTACATTATGGATTTGAACAAATTTATTTCAGTTTAAGTTTCATATACCCTCTCATCCAATTTTTTCACATATCTCATATTCTCAATGTTATTTTAGGTACAACTCTAAATATAGCCATCAAAACTTTTTATCACAGAATATTTCAAAGTTTTGATCAATTCTTCTTTGATAAATTTTACAGTAAAAGAACATGGGGGTCGGGCCTGGTTAGTACTTGGATAGGAGACCACCTAGGAAGACCCGGTGCTGTAGGCGTTAAAAAAAAAAAAAAAAAAGAACATGGCACCTAAATATTAAGAAAATTCTTTTTTATATGTTTACTCTTTACAGTACAACAAAATATTAACAGAATTTTTCTTATGAGACTCTTGGCTTATGCAAAGAATATTTCTTGTACAACCTGGTTTAAAATTAAAAATCTTTAAAGATAAAGAATGAAAAGTGACTCCTTAATTTGTTATACCTAAGAGTGAAAAAAACCCAACCCAGAGCTTAAGCATTCAGAGTCGTCAAAGAATCAGAATCAGATACAGAAGCAGGAAGGAAACTGAGCAGTCCAACTCCCTCATTTTACAGCCAAGGAGCCAGAATCTTAGAAAGGTCACGTGACTATATATGTAAGGCATCTCTGATATGCCTGTGCTCTTTACACAGCACTTTTATACTTCCCTATTTTAAGTAAAAAAAGATTTATATTTTATTGCCTACATACACAATTCTTTTACTTTATTCATAAAGAATCTAAACTAGCAACTAATAGACTAGATTCTTTATAGGTTATCCATAGAGAAAAACTTTCTAAATATTCCAGCGATTTCCTGATATTTCTAAGGAAAAGCCTGTGGGATTTTCTAATCCTTCATTTCTTCAGATCTGTGGTTTCTTTCTTGTTTTTAGTCATATCTTATTTGACAATCTCATCAAAGCCACAGACCCAGTCCTCATGGGAATGTATACAACAGGGATCTTCAGAGAGTTCAAAGTCCACAGGTAGAGATCCTTTGCCCTAGACTATCAAACTTGCTCCAACATTAGACCAAATTACCACATACAATTAGACTATATCAATCTTCCAACAAACAATATGATTTCCCAGAACCACAATTTGACATTGGGTGCTTCTCTTGAATTGAAAGCCAATAAGAAATGGCCTATGTTCTGCCAGTAGACAACAATTTGCGGTTCATGTGCAAAGATTCACAATGTACTTCCGAGATGAAGGAAAGAAAGGTGTTTCCTTTGACACTCTGGAATGTTTTCTTTCATAAAATTAAAACTACATAATCTATTATGTTTTCCTTTTTTGTCTTGCGTCAAATGAGGCAGCTTCCTTTAGCCTAGATTTTTGTAAAATCATTACACAAACTGCCCTTCCCACCCTTCTCTCTCCCTACTAGCACTGGCTTTTATTCTTTTACTAATGTGTTATGAATCTGTGTTTTAAGTTTTTTTTTGCTTTTTGGAAACTTTTTTTGTGTGTTCAAAATGAGTAATTTTTAGAATAGTGACTATGACTAATGTTTAGAATAGTTTCATTTTTCTCACATTTAAAATTGTTGACTATTCTAGAGACTTTTTTACTTTTAAAATTTAGGTATTATCTACATATAATAAAATGCTAAAATATTAAACGTTTAGTTCCATAAGTTTTGACCATTTTAAAATTATAATCTGCTTTAAATTCTTTTTGAAAGCAAGAAGGGTACGTATAAATAAATAAATAGTGGATTCATTCATGAGTTGATCTGTGACAGTTTGGCAGGAGAAAACTGGAAGAGGGTAGGACTAAAAATAAGAAGACATTACACACAACTATACAGATAAGAGTGAAAAGCGTTAGCCCAAAAAGGTGGCAGTAAGATTAAAGTAGGGTCAAAATAAAACTCATATACTATGAAGGCTAGAAGTAGCTAGTATGAAAAAAAGAAGAAAAAGGAAGAATGGCTGAAGAGCCCAGTTTACACATTTGTTTATAGCAGTTGTTCAATAAAGGTTTGTTTATTCATTCATTCAACAAACATTATTATGACCTTTTGAATCAAGCATGGAAAAGTCAGATTTCTTGCTTCCTCAAGGCCACAGTTGTAGCAGAAATTTAGTCAAGAACTCAGAAGTTACTCAAAATCCTAAAATTTCTAATGCTTAACTAACAGCATACTATTCTCTCTTGAACTGATAAATGATAAAGATTAGTTATATAACTAAATGATTTAAACCATTATTGTAGTGATTAATAAAACATCTACTTTACAGGCTGACTGTTTACTTGGTTTCTTTGATGTAATTAAACTTTAAAAATGAATTGCATAATGCGATTCACTAAATTTCAAATTGGCTTTACATGTTATTTTACCCCTTAAAAAATTCCATACAAGAAACAAGTTGATTCACAGGCTTAACTTTCAGAAGTGTACAAATCTTGCATCAAAATAAGCTGGTCTGAGTCTACCAAATACAAAAGCACCTATTAAATGTACTCGATTCCTTGGATTTACTTAACTCTCTTTGTAAGTAGCTACTCTATATTTTTCAAATCTTAACCTAAAAAATGTTCAAGGTATCTAATTTTACTTTGATTCCTTAATTAGAAATCAAAATAAATATTTTGAAAAATCAAGCATTCAATGATCTTCCCTGTTGAAACAGACAGCCTCTCTGCTATTACTCTTCCTCAGTAGAAACAATTTTTAACAAAATTCAAGTTTATTGATATGATTCATTCATCAGTAAACATGTGGGTATCTACTAAGGGTCAAGCTTTGTGTAAGAGTTAGAAATACAAATATATACTAATATACCAATAATAACAAAAAGCTTAATTCAACAAATAGTGATCTATCCATTTTTAAGCACCAATAACTCAAACATGAAAAAACTACAAGTGAACAGTTAAGTGAAAAAAAGTCAAGTGAATAACATTAATATGTGAAAGAATATTTTAACGTAGAATTAACACATTTTAATTTGTTTGAGAAAATGCCATATTCAAAATGAAAGTAGAGGTAAACAAGGTCAAGAGACATAACTGCTAATATTTCATTATTTAATGATGAGTAAAGAGACTGTCAATTTGAAAGCAGATTACTAAGAAACTATAACAAAAATTTCTCTAATAAGAATACAAATTTATTAACTACTCCTTTTCTTATTACTCTTTATTCAGCTTTCTCTTATCTTCTAATATGAGTATACTACCTGTTTTTCTACACCAATGCGATAAGAAGAAATTCAACCCTTTAAAGTTTATTGATTATAAGTAATACTCATATTTTTTGTTTCACTTGATAAATTTCCTAGTCAAAACAATAAAAATAGGGGTGATTCATAAACAAAAGTTGCTGAGCATGAAAGGGTAGTTCAAATTAAAAAGGTACGAAATCAGCATAAAATGTTACTGCAGCACATTATATTTAAAGTAGCTAAGTAATTATAAAAATACCTTGCTCTTAAATTCCCTAAATTCTTTAATTGATACCAAAAGAGTTTCAGCTCAAATTGAACCAAACTAGAAAATAACAACAGTTAAAACACAACTGGATCTAGCCTTTTCTGAAAAATGGTAATTTAAAATGAGAAAACCATGTGCTTCCAGAGGTTTTGATGTCTTCAGTCCTTTAGGAAATAACATCTACATTCAGCTACTCCCATCCCACATACTCTCTCTTCTTACAATTTCTTTTGGCTTTAAAAAATGAGTATACTTTAAATATAAATATATATAGAAACCACTCATAGGAGTTTTTAAATAAAGAATTTGAACCATATTCCAATATATAGTTAATGTCATATTAAGAGTGGTGAGGGGAGGTTGGAGGGAATGAAAACAAAATTCTTTTGAAAAGATGTAATTTAATTCTGTAAGTAAGATTAATACCAAACATAAACAATTCTGGTATTTATTTATTTTTGAAAGTGGTAATTTAAAAATTGAAAGTGCTCTAAAATATTCTCAACTTACAGAAAAGAACGAAAAATGTTAGAAAATTGTTTATCAAAAACTAAAGAGATCCAGGATTGAAGCCACTCACAATCATACCAATCAAATTAAATCTTGAGGCACAATTATGGAAAACATAAGCCAGGAGTGGCAAAACTATCATTGATCTCTCAAATTCGTTTTATACCTGAAGATTAAATTTCTCTCTTTCAGTCATTAAACATTTTTAAAATGCTATATTAGGATATCACTAGCAATTTCAATTCAAAAATACTTATATACATTTATTTCTAAAAATAAAGTCATATCCCAAATACAAAAGCAATCAAGAAACAGGCTTAACAGTGACTTTTTTTTCTCCTTCAATTATTACTACCAAAAGAATGAAAGAATAAAAAGAAAGAAAACTCTCTGAGAAGTGGCCGTCATCCCAGAAGGCTTTTCCGCATAAAAAAAGAGTTACTGGCCAGAAGTCTCGGTTAAACAGAGGCCATTTGCAAGCCTCCTAGGTATATTCTCAGCAGACACATTATCAGATTAAAGAACTGCAAACAAACTGGGCTGAAACCTTTCTTTGTCCAAGCCCAGCCTCTTCTTCCTGTGATGTCATATTACAAATCTAGCAAGGCTTTATTTTTCACTTCAGAGAAAGTCCATAGCACAATACAGCTTGAAACGGAGGAAAAGGCCTCTTTCTCGGCAAGAGCTAACACGCTAAGGAATTTATTTCGGAACATTTAAAGGATTCTTCTGCTTTTCACCATCTGGAATCTACTGCCTGAACTCCAAAAAGGAAAACTTCATTTAAAAGGAGCAAGAACTAAATGAGACCAAATTGGGAATGCTTAAATCTCCGAAACTCTACATTGAAAAGCAAAATAAAATTGCTAACTTTAGCTTAAACATTTTGGAGCATAAAGAAGCTTTAATTTTGGAATATCATCTTGACTACCGCAATACAAGTTAACTAGACAAGTAGATTTATTCCGTCTCAGAACACGGCGTTTCTTTAAAATTTATAATCCAATGGATTGGCTTCACTGACTATGTTTTTAAAGGTTGCTCGTTGGTTCACTAAGCCTTGGATTCACGAATTTTCTGAAGACTAGAAAATGAGACTATTTTCCTGTTGAGGAACCAAGTGGAAACTTTACAACAACAAATTTGATGTTTCTTTTGAAGATTCTGGAGATAAAGGAAATATTTATAAAACTACCCAAAGATCCAAAGAACTTGCAAATACATTGGAGGTTTTAAAGCGGTCACAGTCTGAATACCAAAGGAGGCTGCTGCTGGACGTGCCTTTATAATGGTAAGCAGTAACAACTCCCACTGCCCCTATGATGACTCCTTTAAGTACACTTTGTATGGGTGCATGTTTAGTATGGTGTTTGTACTTGGATTAATAGCCAACTGTGTTGCCATATACATTTTCATCTGCACTCTCAAAGTGCGAAATGAAACTACAACGTACATGATAAATTTGGCAATGTCAGACTTGCTTTTCGTGTTCACGTTACCCTTCAGGATTTTTTACTTTGTAACACGGAATTGGCCATTTGGAGATTTACTTTGTAAAATTTCAGTGATGCTGTTTTATACCAACATGTACGGAAGCATTCTATTCTTAACCTCCATCAGTGTAGATCGGTTTCTGGCAATTGTCTACCCATTTAAGTCGAAGACTCTAAGAACTAAACGAAATGCAAAAATCGTTTGCATTGCTGTGTGGTTAACTGTGATGGGAGGAAGTGCACCAGCAGTCTTTTTCAAGTCTACTCACTCTCAGGATAATAACAGCTCAAAAGCCTGCTTTGAAAATTTTCCAGAAGACACATGGAAAACATATCTCTCAAGGATTGTAATTTTTATCGAAATAGTGGGATTTTTTATTCCTCTAATTTTAAATGTAACTTGTTCTAGTATGGTGCTAAGAACCTTAAATAAACCTGTTACATTAAGTAGAAGCAAAATAAACAAAACTAAAGTTTTAAAAATGATTTTTGTACATCTGGTCATATTCTGTTTCTGTTTTGTGCCTTACAATATCAACCTTATTTTATATTCTCTTATGAGAACACAGACATTTGTTAATTGCTCAGCAGTGGCAGCAGTAAGGACCATGTACCCAATCACTCTCTGCATTGCTGTTTCAAACTGCTGCTTTGACCCAATAGTTTACTACTTCACGTCAGACACAATTCAGAATTCAATAAAAATGAAAAACTGGTCTGCTAGGAGAAATGATTCCAGATTCTCTGAAGTTCAAGGCACAGAGAACTTTATTCAACATAACCTACAAACCTTAAAAACTAAGATATTTGACAATGAATCTACAATATAAGCTGTCTGAAATAAGAACCACTGGGACTTCACTGGGACAGAACCTCCAAGTTCCTTCAACTGTGAAAAGTTTTCCTGGACAACTATTTTTCCACCTCTGAAAGAAAATAAGCATGTGGACATTTTAAAGTTTTTAGTATTAAAAAAAGTTGTATTCAATGTGTTAAACATTCAAATGTATTCTATTCTTGCATACATTCCATTTTATTTTTCTCAGCTGTTTTGATTTGTACTACCTTCATGTTCATTAAAAAAAAATCCCTAAAGGAGTTTTTCAAAGTCACTTTAGACTATTATTCAAGTCATGTGGTGACCATCTGTACTGTCTTTGAAGTTCTTAGTAATTTTATACTAAATGATTTACAAATATTAAGTTTCACTTAATATTTTTATTCAAAATATATCTAATTTCTATTTCAACTTGAATTAAAACTAGCAATCATGTTTCTTAAACTATAATAACAAATGAAAATGGAGAGTAATTTGAAACAATAAGTGTTTTGGGAGTATTTTTTAAATACTTAAAAATGTGGTCTTCTGTAGAATAACAACATAGGAACCTCAATTGAGGATCGTGAACAGTTAAACTTACAAATATTGAGTTGTTTCTTTGTGTGCAGTTCATAAAAAGCAGATGCTATCTAACTATATAGTAGAGCATGCTTTAAAATTACAATTTTGATCCACTCTAGCCATAATGGCACTCAATTTCACAATTATATATACCACAAAAATTGAGAAGGAGGAAACTAACAATATGTTATTTCACTAAGTGTTTAAAAAAGTAAAATATCACTAAAGGTACATTTTAAAGGTATATTTATGTCACAATAAATAACTTGTATTTTAAGCATTTTAGGTATTTAAGTTAGAGAAACACCATGGATAGTGAGATAGTAAATATAAAAATATAATACTTGGTACTTAGAAAATGATCAATATATATATTACTTTCTTTTCATATTTTGACCATTTAAAGCCAAATAATGAATAGCTGAAATAGTATTTCAAGAAGGCAAAATGTTACTGTATGTCAAAATAATTTATGGATATTTATAAATATAAAAGGTATTGCTTTGAGCTATAATTTAGATATGATGGACCAACTACACTGACACTTTTTACTTTTCCAACATCTTTTTTTTTCGAATTCAAGCAGTTCTACAGAGTTAACTAAAAAAATTTTATTTGAGAAAAAAGACATATAATTAAATTCAGCTTCAACTTATCTTATTTTTACATCTTAATCTTTCAAGTCCTGAATACAACTTTGGACAAATACTCTTAAGATTTAAATTTTACTTTTGCTGTTCTTTGGGTTTGGGCTGCAAAGATTTCAGAGGAATCATAGTCATTTGCTAGAGAAGTAAACCATTTTCAATAAAATAAGTGGGGGATTTCTTTAGAGAGTCAAGGTTTCCTTTATATAAACCTAAAGCAAAATAAATTCTTAAAACAAACAAAAACTAGTGAAGAAATTAGGCATGGTCTTATATCACAAGAGGATTATAAATGCTGTAAATATGTTTTCCTGAATTGACCCTGTAGTAATTTTATTTGATATCACCCTTTGGAAAACAAATACATTTAGCATTCTAAACATAAACTTTTGAGTTTAAAAGCAAATGTCAACTTACTGATGTGGAAGATAAGGTTTGGGGTGTTAACAGATCTCAGAATTTTCCTCTGTTTAAACATCTCTGAGCAAGATCTCAAAGTATGGATATTACTTTAAAATACAACCAAAATAGGCATCAGATAGTTATTACTGCACTCACTGGCAAAATTTTTGTTGCCTTCTTGTCAATACAAAGATGAATCAACAGTTTTGTAAGATTCTTCACAAAGAAATACAGAACAGATAAAATTATTAGTTTTCTCATTTAGAACTTCAAATCCTGAGTAAATCTTACCTACACGAACAGAAGGAGTACTAAAGTTATTTACCTTTGTTAGTGTAGCACTTTTTATAGGGTAAATTATTTATTCCTAGGGTGTTCTCTTTCCCCTTTACCCAGAAAACCTGTATTAACATAACTCTGAGAATTTTGCTTTCTGTTATCTGAAAGTAACAGTACCAAGCCCTCTCTCCCAAAAAACTGTGCCCAGTTTTCAATATCTTTATAAAAGAGTAGATGGTGTAACTAATCTTCCTTTCTACATTACACATGAACTCCCTTCAAAGAAACAAAATAAGATGAGAAAATTTTTGAGGTGTGGAAAACAGCTTTCTAGCATCCTAATGATTGGTTCTAAACTTAGAAATGATCTTTTCTGAGACAATAGCAACCAAGTAACTAGTTTACCAAAAGAATATATGAAATGCATTGTACATAATATATCCACAAAAAATTTAAAGATACTGAACATACTATTTTATCAAGGGAGTTTCGACTTTATATTGTACATTCAAAATACTAAAAGTAAATTTGAGATATAAATCTTAATTATAGACATTATATTTAAAGAAATAAGACACCGAGTTGAGAAACAAAGTGGAAAAATTGAACATTTGCAAACTTCATCTCCCCAACATTTATGAATGGTATGCAGCTAGCCAGAGACTGACGTAGTAGCTTTTTGGTCCTGCAGTTCTGGATCCCTGATAAACCAGGTACCTGGTCTTCTGTCAATGTATTAAGTTACTATTGCCCACTCCCTAACACCCAAACTACTTTAGTGCGTACACACCAATCCAACCCGATGACATAAATGAAGGAAAATGTGACATGTGACCTTGTGCTCTTAGTTGTGAATGAATTTTTAATAGAAAATTATATAAACAGTGCTTACTAGTAGATGAATCTTAAGATAACTCTAAAGTAAACTGTTTTTAAAAGGTTCTTTTCAGCTAACCTGGAAACCAAATTACCCATTTATAACAAGACTTCTAAGAAATAAATTCCAAATTAAAAAGGACTAATGGACAAACTTGACATAGAACATATTTAAATCAACCCAAGTATTTGATGATCACAACATTATTTAATTAGCAAAATTTTCTAGAGATCAACATAAACATAATCCTAAAACCACCAATTCTCAAATTTCTATTATATCTTTCTTCATCTTTTCTACCTGATGTCTGCTACCCATTTCTGACTGTCAATTTTATAAAAATACAAAGAATATCATTTAAATAGGGTAATAGACCAAGATAATAAAAGAAATTAACTCCAGGTGAACTTCTTTACCAAGCCTTTGCCTTTCCTCCTTCTCTCAAAAACATTCACTCCAATAACTCCTTAAAAGGGTACAAAATTACCTCTTTAATCACTTTATGCAATGGCAAAAACAAAATCCAAGAGATAGGACCCCAGAAATAGAGATTCATGAATTTAATAATCAATTTCTAAACTCAAAACTTGCTTTACTCATATAAACTCAATCAAATAATTTTTTAAAATAAACTTAGAGTAAATATTGAGAATGAGGAACAAATATATACTGTATACTTACAGCCAAGTTATATAGGGTGAATGTGCTGAGTTCCATTACCTTCCTATCAAAATGGCTTCCGTAAATTCACAATTTTAAACTGAAATAGCCTAGAATTCTTCTGTAACAACTATTTCACGTTAGGCTGAGGAAACTGAAGAACTAAGAGGCTAAGTAACTAGCATAGGGTCATATAACAAGTTATAGTAGAGCCAAGATTAAGTACTTGGTTTTTCTCACATGTCTATTTCTTTGAGGTAACAAGGGAAGTAGCATATGCAAGGGCCCTATCGGAGAGAACCTGGTATACTGAAAGGATTAAAACAAAACCAAAGTGGCCGAAGATGGAGGGCTGGGATCTTAAATGCACCTATAGGCCAGGATAAAGCCATGTTTAGATCTGAGGAGTTGTGGAAAGTCTCAAAGGATTTCAAGTAAAAGGGAAGATATGATTGGATATAAATTTCAAAAAGATTCCTCTGAAGGCAAAGATGCATTTGTCTTCAGCAAAAATAGAAAAAGAATAAAATTTATACTTATTCAATTGAAATTTAAATAGTTGTTCTTATCCTTTATTTTGATTATGTCCTTTCTCTCTTATTAAAATGGCTTTTCCTTTTTCAAATGATGGTGATGGCAGATGTGAAGAATATTTTAATTAGTTGGAACAATTAAGTTAGTAGCCCTTGTGGAAAAATTTGTATGTTCATACACTGCTAGTAGGAATACAAAATGATACAATATTATGGCTGGAATTTGGCAATATCACACACACACAAACACACACACACACACACCACAAATTTATCCTTTAACCCAACATTTTCACTTCTAGGTACTTACCCTGAAGACACACCTTCAATATGCACATAAAAATACATATGTACAAGGTGCAGCATTATTTGAAATTGTAAAATAGTGGAAACTACCTAGATGCCCACGCATAGAAGACTGAATAAATTGTAGTACACATACCTACTGTAGTACTATCAGCTATAATAAAGAATGAGATCTCTATGAACTGATATCTAGAATGTATTGTTAAATGAAAAAGCAAATAAAAGAACAACAGTATGCTACCTTTTGTGTTAGAAAAAGGCAAAATAAGAAAACATACATATACCTGCTTATTTTAAAACACACACACACACACACACACACGCATGAACAATAAACTTAAAAACAAGGAATGGGGTGGGAAATGGTGTAGAAGGGATATCGAAGGTAATAACGACTGAGTGTAAGACTTTGGGAAGCATGATAATTTGTACATCAGGAATCAGAAAACCTTTTCTTTAAGAGTCAGACGGTAAACATTTTAGGCCTCCAGATTATATCATCCTATGGCAACTTTTCAACTTTGCACTGCAGTGCAAAAGGAGCCATAGACGATACATAAACGAATGAATGTGGCTATGTTCCAATAAAACTTTACTTATAAAAAACAGGTAGTTGGCCTGTGGGCTGTATGTGCCACTTCTTGTCCTACATAGTCAAACAAACAAACAAACAAAACCCCAAACTAAAGCCAACAAGAATGGAAAATAAAAAAATAAAAATAAGCAAACCTTACAAGTACATCTTTGTTAGTGGCATATAATAGGTCTTAATAATTATCTGTTGGATAAAGTTCAATTAAAAGATGGACATGAGTTCTAGTACAGGGCTTTTCTACAAAGTAGTATAATTTAGTAGTATAATTCATTTAACTTTTGTATGTTGACCTATTCATCTTTAACTAAGGGTTTTGTACTAGATAATATGTAAGGTCCATGCCATGCCTCATATACTATGTTCCTCGTTCTTGACAGTTATAATTTTCATCTATTCCTTCCTTTCAGCAAC